CTGTTTTGTACCTCAGTGGAGCTTTGTTCCATTTAATTTTATTGTTATCACCTAAAGCCTTCATTTAAAATTGTTTCATGACATAGAAAGTTATCATGTTACTTGTTTCACTAGAATTAATGACTTCAGAAACGAACAGACATGTGGTATACTCCGTAAATGATTACATCTCTTACAAAATTAAAAAAATAAATATTAAAAGAAACACTGAAAATGTGAAATTTTATTGAATATATTCTTCATTTAATTGATAAACTTGAATGTTTTAATACTTAAGCAAATGGGCTGAATTTTATGTGCAACATGAATGTCTTTAAAACACAGACAAAAAGTATGCATAATATATGTGATGTTAATTTGTTTACAGTCTACAGAAAAAGCTTTAAAGTTAAATTTCTATAAACTTTTGTCCTGTCAGCTGTCTACTTCTGTAAATAGTAATAATATAATTCAGTTACCGGGTATTCTGTTTACCAAAATAAAAAGTTTTTAGCAGCAGATAATGGTATCAGTTAAGAAAACCAATAGGTTTAAATGATGCAGTTTGTGTTTTGCATGACGGGCAATTTTTTTAAAGCTGATTAGAAGAGAAAATGCAATTTGAAACTCACTTTTGACTTCAATATTTTAGCAAGTCTTTTTTCATGGACACTATTATATACTTAAAGTAGATCTTAATGGTTGTTACAAAGAGACAATGATATCTTTTTGCACTTTTTATGGCAATCACTGTGATTTTATTTAATAAATTACTTTACAGGTATGTCATATGTTGCAGAAAAGAAGTTGAACTCTTAAATGCTTTATATATATTGACAATAAGGACGAAAGTTCAAGTTACTCCCTTATTGCATAAAAAACATAAGTCACTTTGAGGATAGGCCCTTTATAGCATTATCAAAAAAGTAGATACAAAGAAATTAATATACTTTGTTCAAACTTTTATAATGTCAAAAATGATAATAAACCATTTTTGGAAAAAAAATGTAGATAACGCCCTTATTTTGCGTTAAGCCCTCGATATCCATATTGGTTCTTTCATTTAAAAGTATATAAATGTAATTTGTTAATGTCAAAATTTTGTTGTGTTACGAAAAGAAAATCCACATAATATTATCATTTCTCATCAAAAAAAACACTTAAATGAAATATGTACAAATATGTAAGTATGCCATTTGTGACAGACAAAATGACATTAACTACTTTATATGCCCCTCTTTCAAAGTATGATGGCTAATGGTATCGGCAAAATTGCTTTGCTTCAAATTCTGTCTGTCCGGTCCATTTGATCGGTCGTAGACCAAATGGGACTTTCCGAATAAAAAAATAAAGAAAATTCTTGGGGCCAGGAAACTTCAAACTTGGTATGAATGATTGATTTAATGACCAGTAATGGCCCAATTGATGTTTAAACCCATTTTACTTCATATACACGCCCTTTAACGCCATTTTTTTTTTTCATCAAACCGACCCCTCCCCCCCGCCTTTTGTACTTCTGTCTCAAATGGTTAAAACAACAAAAAAAACAAAAAAAAAAAAAAAACAAAACAAAAAAAAAAAAAAAAAAAAAAAAAAAAAACTGCATTATATAGGCCCTTAACACTTGTTTTTGTTTGAGAAATGTTGTTAAAAAAAAGTGACCCACTTTTCGGCGCGGCCCCCCCCCAACAAAAGATACATCAGGGGGTCATGCCAGAAGGGGATGTCCCCCTTCTGTTTGGGGGGGGTTTGAAGGGGGCGGAAGTCCCCCTCATCGCCAAGAAAAATTTGGACTTGAGAGTGGCTATAAATGACCCCAGATTGATCATAATGACGGTAACGTGTAACCAACGCTGAAAAGCATTTGACTCTATCTCAATCCATTGAGAAGTTGCAGCACTTTGAAATAAATTTTGATGGAAAAAAATCAAAGCAAAATAGTGATTTTTGGCAATTTTGAGATGTCCCCTCGTTGCCATGGTAACAGTAAATTTAAGCCTCAGTATGTTGTTGCAAGGGCAATGGTCCAGTCAACATTTGTGCCAAGTTTGATTAGTGTTGAAGCAGTTTTTTATAGTATTATAGCAATTTGAACTTGTAACGGGAGACTTTTCAATGAAAACAGCCATTTTTTCACAAAATGCTCATGAAGTAATGGGTTAAGGGTCAATGGGTCAAAGGTCAAAGGTCACATTGACATTGTAGGTAAAAACAGTTTCCGATCAGTAAATAACGAAGGTTTTGATCCTAGGATCTTCAAACTTGATATAATGATCGTTTATTACCAGTAGATGATCCCTATTGATTTGGGGTCAAGGGGTCAAAGGTCAAGGTCACATTGACCTTGGAGGTAAAAACTGATTCCGATCAATAACTGAAGAATGCTTAGGCCTGTGAACTTCTCAGACGTGGTATGATTATTTTTCATGACAGTTGATGTAACCCCTATTGATTTGGGGTGACATTGAACCTAGTAGGTAAAAAACGGTTTTCCGATCATTAACTAAAGGATGCTTAGGTCTAGAAACTTCAAAAACTTGGTATGATTAAATTGTTCATGGCCAGTAGATGACCCCCGTTTATTTTGGGGTCAAAAGGTTAAAGGTCAATGTCACATAGACCCTAAGATTACCCCAATTGATATCAGGGTCAAAGGTTAAAGTCAAATTGACCTTGTATGTAAAGACAGTTTTCAATCAATAACTCAGTGACTCAAGTTGCCCTGGTTTATATTCTTTAAACTAAAAATGCTTTTGGTATACATATTTCAAAGTCTTATGCAATGTAAAAAAATGGCTGTCATTAAGGAGGCCTACATGATTAAAAAAAAATACCCATAGATTATTTGGTAAGATTGTGTTAACTTTGTCATAAAATTGCAGCACACAACCTTTACAGTCACAATTACCTACAATTACCTACCAGTAGATAATCCCTATTGATTTGATTTTTGGCCACTAGTCAAAATTCAGTCTAAATAACATAACCACATGACTAATTAGCTGCTGATAGGCACATGACTAATTGGCTACTGATAGGGGTCATACATGTTTTACAAACATATCTTGTTAGTTAAAGAATTAAGAATATTGTAAATCAAAAATGAAACTTCCATAATTTTAAATTATCAAAAATATTCAATTTCTTTTGGCATCAAACGTAAGGTTCATTTATGGTTACACAATTAAATAAAAAACAAGAAATAAAAACTTCATTTCATCTTATATGGTCTATTTACCGAATTGACTATACACTTAATAATTATACACTATAATAATTTGGTTTCATTCTTTATATTTTACTTCATTTTTGGGCCAAAGTTATTGTATTGTATGTCAAAATGAAAATCCCTGGTTTAGAATTTATGCTGGACCAGTCAAAAAATTAAGTTTCTTTCTCCTGATGTGACCTGGATGGGTAGGTAAATATAGAATTTTATTACTTGTTATCCGGTGGTTTATAGAAATAGATCAGTCATTTTGATAATTTCACTGTTTTAAATTTAAACTCCTAACGTTGTTTCAGTGAAATACCAGCGTGAACAGTACTGGAAACCAACTTAATAACGTGACGTCGTAAATGACGTCACATTGTATTATTATTTGGCGAGCTTTTCATTGAGCATTAGGTTAAAATGTCTTTCCAAACGTTTCTTTACATATAATAAAAATAAAATTTGTTTAGTTTAGTGTAAGATTGAAATATATTTCACCTCGTGAACACCAAAAGTTCATATTTCACTCATGACTGCGCCACTCGTTAAACATTACTTTGGGTGCTCACTCGGTGAAATATATTCTGATCTTACACTGAACAAAACAAATATCCTCTATTTATCCAGAACATTCTTTTTTATTGCATATAATTATTTCCTGTGTGTTTTCATTAAAATGGATTTTAATAAAACGGGTATCGTATTGGCAATTAAACCTTTAGGCAGAAGTTCTAATTCCTGGTTAGGTAGTGGGAGGGAAAAACAAACAATATTTTATAGGCAAATCAATATGATAAGTCTGATTTTATTGACCTGTCAATTATGAATACATTTTAGCACTCGTCTAAATATTCGATCCCATTTCGGTTTGTTCCGTGTAGTTTACGAGAATTAAATGTGGAATATATAAGTCATGTTTTGAAAGTCATGCCAGCTAAATGTGAAGATTTACGTTAATTCACAATAGCACAGTCAGTTAAGAGAATGCCTGATAATTAAGAGGTCTGTGGTTCGATCCTTACTGATGACATTCTTTCTTTATTTTTGCAGTATACACATGTATTTTAATTGAACCGATTTGTAGTGTGTTTTAAGGCATTGAAATGACAATTATTGATTTTAATCCGTTTTAAAACATGTTATTTAAAAAGAGTTATAGACTTTGCCAAATTAAGTAAAACATAATAAAACAAAATGAACAACCCAAAAAAATAATCATATATAGCTTCAATAATAATGTTGAAAGTATTAATAAGAGAGAAAAAACATGGACCAACGCGGTCTCATGTATGGCACTTAGATTATAAACTGGTACTTTACCCTATTGCGCTATAACGCTCAGTACACTTAGTTCAGATATACACATTAAATTAAATTCCATTGTACAGCGTACATCTCACGAAACTTACCGAAATCTACCGAAGATTAATAAATTGTGTGCATCGACCGTGTAATCAGTATGTATGTAATTGACAGGTTAATAAAATCAAACTATACATAAAACAAGTTGTGTTCAATGTAAATGATGTGTGCAGACAGACAGACATACATACATACAGACAGACAGACAGCACACAACCAAAAATTATGGATTAAAAATATTTTTTTGTGTGCAATCATCATTGATGTTTAAAACTGTTATTTATATGTTTTTATGTATTAAACATTGTTAAAAAAGTCCTATTAAATTATGTGTTGAAATTTCATAAACCTAAATTTGTCAACAGTATTTTTACCATAATGCTTCAAAAAGAGCAATATATGCATAATGTAAATATATAGAGAAACAAAAATGAAATCACCCTACCTTAAGTTATGCTCAATATTGTGTCACAGGTTTGAAATCATCCACTGTAGTGATCCAAACTTTTCTAAAGGTTTAACATAAATATTTGCTGTTACTATTGGATTTATGCGTTCATGGAATTCAATATCGATATTTACTTCCTTGTCTTTAAAATCGTACACATTTTAAACTGAACAGTTTTATTATATCATATATCAGGTTAATGTTTATCTGATACAGTTGCATGGTTTTTAAATTTTGTCTTTAAAACAAGTATTAATCATTCAGGAAAGATAAATTTGATAATTAAATATTATGTTGTTCTTTCTCATGGTTGCACAAATTTTAAACAATTACATGTACCTAAGTTTATACATATGTCCACATTGTTTGAATTGATATATACATGTATAAGCATCATAAATGATATTTATAAATAAAAAAGGTTGTAAATCTGTTTTAAAGCATTTAGAGCAGATCGAGTAGACTCCCCCCCCCCTCCTCCCATTAGGGATTTCAACTTCCATTGAAAGATAATTATGATTTATGATATATGGGTATATATCTCTTTAAGATGATTTGACCTCACTTGCATAACATGTTTATCACGATTTCAAAGATACTGTTAAAGCTCATAATTTGTAACTGCTAAATTCTGCTCTCAAACTATATATAAAAAATAATCGCTTGCTTTAAACCACTCTAAAAACTCAAAATATAGATTCTCAGTTTTGAAGCTTCTTACCTAGACAAAGTTGACTGTGATTTTTAGCTCGCCTGAGGGCAATGTCCTCAATGTGAGCATTTTGATAGTCCATCGTCCATCAGTCCGTCCGTGCGTCAACAATTTCTTTTGACAACCTCTCCTCATAAACCACTAGGCCAAATTTGTTTAAACTAAATTGCAGGTGTGTTCCTTGCATGAAGTTCTACCAATCTTGTTGAAAAAATTAAAGTAAATAAAGAACTCACGGCAACCCAAAGATTATTTACCAAAAATCATTAAAAAAATCATCTTCCAAAAAAGTAGTGATATTTGGCATAAAACATCTTATGGATGTCTATCAAGTTTGTTCAAATAAAAACGTTAAGGTCAAAATTTGCTCCGCCCCTGGGGGCTCATTGATTTTAATAATATGTATATAGTAAAAACTTAAGATAAATTCTTCTTGTGACAATTTAGTCCAAAGGGACTAAAGCTTAGATATTTGGCATGAAACATTTTCTATTAGATGTCTACCAAGTTTGTTCAAATAATAGCTCTAGAGTCAAAATTGGCCCCGTCCCACGGGGGTCTTTGATTTTCCTTATATAAACATGTATACAGTAAAATTTTAAAAAATCTTCTTGTAAAAATCCAAAAAAAAGCCAGAGCTTAGATGTTTGGCATAAGATATATTCTAGTAGATGACTAGATATCTGTTCAAATGAAAGCCCTTGGGTTAAAATTGGTCCTGCCCCAGGGGTCATTAATTTTTCTTATATGTATAAAAATAAAAACTTAAAAAATCTTTTTGTGAAAATTCAAAAGATGTGGAGCTTAGATATTTGGCATAAACATGCTCATCTAAACAGCATCTTAAACACTGGTTAAATTTTGAAATAATTTTACACAGAATTTCTTTGGAGACAGTGTACAAAATATTGTTCAGAATAAGCTGTCCGTGTTTTCAAATTATGCTTCTGGGGTGTAATCATCAACTTCTACTGAATTAATGGATGGATGATCACTAAATTTTGTCTGTAGCATTCTTAGGTAGCCTTTTATCAATTTTGCTCGTGTCAATTTGATTGGCCCATTGTAGGCACCGCTATAGCTAAAAATAATAAAAACCTTAAAACATTTTTTTTTGTAATGAACTAATTGATAGATGGTCCCCAGACTTTGTCTTAGCATTCTTAGATAGTCTGTTATCAAATGTGTTCAAATTGATTTAATTGGCCCCTTGTATGGGCCTCTAGAGCTAAAATAGAAAAAAAACTTTTAACAGTTTCTGCTACTGAACTTATTGATGGATGATCACCAAACCTTGTCTGTAGCATTCTTCGGTAGACTTTTATCAAATTTGCTCATATGGATTTGATTGGCCCCTTTTAGGTGCTGCTGAACAGTCTTATCAACTTTTTGCAGTTTTTTTTCTTCCTTGTCTTAAAGTAACTTGTCATTTTTTTTTTTTTTGTGCTATTTTAGTATCAGATTCAATTATTTCTATTCAGAATCACATTTTGCAAACTGGGTTATCACTTGTTCAAAGTGCTTTTGCACTATCTCATACAATATCACTTTTCCACCCTGTATGTAAAGTTGTTTTATTAAAAGAGTTAGACATTGATTCTCCACTAAACATTCAAATTAGGCTTTAAGTAATAGTGAATTATTGACATTTGCGAATAGTTACCCAGACACCTTTTTAGTTGGTTTAACTCATGTATAACATTGAACACATCCTGGTTCTTTTAACATTTCACCAAAAAATCTTGTAATATTTCCTGAAATTAAGTTACCAAGAATTCGAGATTTGTGCAAAAACAGATACGTTACCATTTTTCCAATTGCTTTCAGAGACTAGATAGAAATAATTAGCATGAATATACACGATTTAGAAATTTATTATCATTCTTTCCACAATATAGCACCAGTATATATTACAAAATATTATCCATCAATATGCATTAAAAAAAAATCTACGTCTATGAATAGCTTGTGAACTGAAGTTGATGAAAATGTTACTTATTAATCAGACTTGTTTATTCCAAATACATGAGTTACTTATAAAAGCATTTTAGGTCAATAAAAATACTGATGTTCCAAACTTATTTACTGACACAATGTTGCTCGGATTTACTTAACAATATAAATTTATTCCACTAAGTGGAAACAAATATTAAATCATAGTAATGTATCTGTTTCACAGTTCTTCTATGAACAAAATTATGAAAAACCTTGAACACATAGATAGATATCCATAAAGTTTTTTAAACAACTGACCAATAAATAATATGTCTGAACCAGTACTTTTAATATTAAACAGAACACACAATATCATTTAAAGTTTTTTTTAGGTTTTATTGTTTTATGTGTAGCTTCAAATAGTCAAATAACATTGTGACTTTAAGAAACAGATTGAACTTAACAAGAACATTTGAATAAAGACACTCATCTATTAGAATATGTAACAGCTAGATTAATGTGAGTGTTTCATAGTGTGAATTGACATTCTGTATTTCGTTTGTCTTTTTGGTTCATCTGCTGTTCAATTGTCTTTATTTTTTCTATATACTTTTTCTTTATATACTGGTACAATCTCGATCCTTGATTTTGTCATACTTGGTGATATGAGTAAGCCTACATGTATATGTTTATCTACATTTAACAAAATTATACCAGAAAAAAAAATTGTACCGCTTAAAGAAAACCAACTTAGTAATAATCAATCCATATATTTGCACCTCCAAGATTTTGAGCTATATCCAATTAGTCCATCCCTTCCATAGACAGAAAATCTTGATACCACCCTGACTAAAATTTAGAAACTAACGGGCATTCATTTAAAAATACTTTAATATGTTGTTTTTTTCATTAAGTTACAGTGCTGTTATATATTGCCTAACCATACATTACTTATTTAAACCAACGTTTTGTTGAAGATTTAGTTATATATATATTAAACAGTACTCAAATCTCTTTCTAAATAGATACGTTACTATGATAAACAGATACGTTACCAGAAGTTATACAGTCCTCTACATTTTATTTTTAATACAAATTTTGCAAACCAAAAATATATCAACATATATTTATTCCAGGAAATAAAACAGTAAATCTTTATATGTTTCTTTCCTGTTTTTCAACATTTTATTTTCTAGAAAACTCAACTAATCCTTTAATTTCAAATTCCTGATTCACATTTTCAGTTTTCCAATAAAATCGAGGTCAAAACATCATTTATCGGCTACACGTACGTTATGCTGTAAATTTTTACATGAAACCATTTCAAAATTGAGCAAAATCGTCAATTAAGATTCAAACAATAAATATTGGTAACGTATCTGTTGGTAACGTATCTGTTGGTCAAAAAACTAAAATATATCAGATATACACACATGTTTGCCAAATATATTGAAATATTAAGTTTTGTAAATTTGAATAATGCATAAATGCGATCCTACTTTTAAGTGCTGGTAATAGTAAATGTTTCTCAGTGGGATATCATGGTAACGTATCTGTTTCACTTTAAAGTATAATCCAAATTGCCTCATCATTGCAAAGTAATTGTGGTTCTAGCATGTATATTGTAGTCAAAATTATTTTTGAATATTGAAATATGATAAAACTTGAGTTCACTAGCAAACTATTAATATGATACAAGTTCATATTACTCTTACTCAGGTTTACCTGAAGTTTGGTAACGTATCTGTTCAATATATAAGGGACATGCATTTCAGCTGGTAACTTTTTTTCAAATTCACTGTAGAAAACAATAAAAATCGCTCACTTAGACATTTAAACTAAAACTTAATACTAAACGTTTTTTCTTCAACACATGTTTCAGGTGAAAATATGTAAAACCAACAGTAATATGGGACCCAAGCCTGGGGAAATTACATAATGGGTTATACAGCACCTCTGCGTGATAATATTTTCGTATAAATTCAACAGACTAAGTCATTGATTTAAATGCTTTACATACATGACCATGTAATGAAGCAATAAAATGCCCAAAAAGTATTTTTCAACTGCAGTGCAACAAAATATACTCCAGGGACAGAATATTTTCTAATTTGCACGTTTAGTGGAGAATCAATGTAGAGTTGTTCACTGAATACATTTCATCAAAACAACCTGTTGTTTTTTCCTGTATGTAGTTACAATTGTTCCTATTTCTATGAGAGATCAAGATAATTCTACCTGAAACATTAACTTTTTTTTCGTCTTAACAAGTATACCTATGTTATCTTCAATAAATATTGAACGGTGTCATCCTGACATACAGTCTGCATGTATATCTAAATACTGAAATTATGTAATTATCTAATTTTAAGATAAGTAAAAAAAGAAAGATCACAATTCTGAAAGACAGTCATAGGCAAATTTAATCACAAATTAATGGAATGAAATTCACCAATCTTGGTGTCTGTTACATCTGTGTCAGGAAACTTTATAACTAGAGAGGCAAGTTGAAGTTGAGCTGGACTTGTCTTTCTACAAGTTTATTTAAGAAATTATTTCTATAATCACTGAAAAACAGTTGTTTCTTGTAAGCGATTCAGGACCATCATGGCCCTCTTGTTTTAATTTCAAATAAAATTATAGCATATTTCAGGCTTAATGGCCCTTTAATCTGCTATAAACCCATTGATACTTACCAAACAACATCTCTTATGCATGTATAAGAAAGTCATGTTTAGAATGTCTGTATTTTATTTTGAAGGTCCGATGTTACTACGCTGGTACTGCCTCTATGTTCTAGTAATAGCTGTAAATGGGACAACAGAATGTTTTGTGTTTGCTACAATGAGTAAATCTCAAGTTGATAGGTATGTATTTATAAATGGGCAGTTATTGAATCAAGTAAACCTTTTTTTCATTTCTAATTATACCCCCACCACAAAATGTGGGGGGGGGGGGGGCTATAATGGATTCGCTTTGTCGCGTCGGTCGGTCCGTCCGTCCGTCCGTCCGTCTCCATTTTCGTGTCCGCTCTATAACTCCTATACCAATTGAAGGATTTTCTTCAAACTTGGCTCAAATGTTCACCTCAACAAGAGGATGTGCAGAACCCATGTTGCCGATGTGTCAGCTCAAGGTCAAGGTCACAATTGAAGGTCAAATATCAAACACAATCAAATATTAGACAGTATGTCGTGTCCGCTCTGTAAGTCCTACAATAATTGAAGGATTTTCTTCAAACTTGGCTCAAATGTTCACCTCAACAAGGGAATGTGCAGAACCTATGTTGCCCATGTGTCAGCTCAAGGTCAAGGTCTCAATTGAAGGTCAAATACCAATAATCAAATATTACACAATATGTTGTGTCCGCTCATTAAGTCCTACACTAATTGAAGGATTTTCTTCAAACTTGGCTCAAATGTTCACCTCAACAAGGGGATGTGCAGAACCCATGTTGCCCATGTGTCACCTCAAGGTCAAGGTCACAATTGAAGGTCAAATATCAAACAAACAAATATTAGACAGTATGTCGTGTCCGCTCTGTAAGTCCTACACTAATTGAAAGATTTTCTTCAATCTTGGCTCAAATGTTCACCTCAACAAGGGAATGTGCAGAACCCATGTCACCCTTTTGCCGGCTTAAGGTCAAGGTCACACTTGAAGGTCAAAAATTGACTTAGTAAATTTTCTTAAATTTTAACATTTATATGAATATTTCTGAATCTAGAAAAGGTGTTTGCTTGAAACATAAAATATGTATGAAAGGTCAAAATTAAGGTATGCTGGTCAAGTTTCATAACTCTGTATTGCATTTTAACAAAGTTATGCCCCTTTTTTGAGTCTTCAAATTTACATACAATCAAATATAAGGCAATATGTTGTTTCTGCTCTATAAATTCTACACAAAACGAAGAATTTTCTTCAAACTTTACTCAAATGTTCACCTCAACAAGGATTTGTGCAGAATCCATGTCACCTTTGTGCAGGCTAAAGGTCAAAGTCACACTTGAATGTCAAAAATTGACTTAGAAAATGTTCTTTAATTTTAACATGTACTTGAATATTTCTGAAACTTGCACAGGTATTTGCTTGAAACTTAAAAGATATATGAGGTGTCACAATTACGATATGCAGGTCAAGTTTCATAACTCTGTATTGCATTTTGACAAAGTTATGCCCCTTTTTAAGTCTTTAAATTTACATATAATTAATACTTGACAATATGTTGTGTCCGCTCTATAAATTTTTTACTAATGGAAGGATTTTCTTCAAACTTTACTCAAATGTTCACTCCAACTGGGCGATGTGCAGAATCCATCTTACCCTTGTGCCAGCAGAAACTCAAGGCCACACTTTAAGGTCAAAAATTGACTTATAAAAAGTTTAATATTGGGAAAATGAAAGGTTATTAGTAACTGTTTCGAACATGATTTGATAATAAATATTTATACTTTTACCTGTACTATAAGTCTTTTTTTTCACCAGAGACAATTTCTTTTTATGTATTTGCGCCACTTAAGTTATTCCCTTTACCACCTTTCCAAGTCGTCTTCTGTCAAGGACATTGGTGGGGGTATGAATCGCATTCAGCGATAGTTCTAGTTATTTATTGAGTTTTTTTCAGCTGTACAAGTAACTGTATGTTAACAGGGTTTTTTAAATAGAATTTGAAATATTCTGAGGGGCATTTGTGGCCATGTGACTTCAAACCAATTGGCCCTCACCACTGTAGGTGCGAAGCCTGCAAGGAACTATAGATTCTTTAATGTGAGAAAGCTAGCTTACGAAATATTGGTGGTTCATCTTAGGTGCCTGCTTGTGTTGAATAATTCATAGAGGATATCTCCCTCCACCAGTAAAGTTTGAAAATGGTCATGTAACCTTTACTGTGTTAGTGTGACTTAAAAAAGACTTTACTATAGTCAGAGGTTTAGGACATTGAATTTCAATTTTTGCTTATTTAATGCTTTAAATTTAAACTAAGAAAGTATTTCCTATGAAAGGTAATGTTTTGAATTTTAATAACTCAAACATTGATCAACTTTTCATGTACCTAACCTTCTGAGCAAAAGAGAAACTAGGTCAGTCTAAGTGGGGCGTCCGTGGCCGAGTGGTTAAGGTCGTTGACTTCAAACCACTTGCCCCTCACCGCTGTGGGTTCGAATCCCGACAGGGACTTTGGATTTTTTCATGTGAGGAAGCTATCCAGCTAGCTTACGGAACGTCGGTGGTTCTACTCAGGTGCCCATTCGTGCCTGAAATAATGCACGGAAAGGCACCTGAGGTCTTCCTCCACCAGTAAAAGCTGGAACGTCGCGATATGACCTAAACTGTGTCGATGTGACGTAAAACCCAAAACAAACAAAGGTCAGTCTAATTATATGAAATATTTATAGTATTATCCTTTTGATGCTTTTTGTAGACCATATTTCATCTATTTTGAAGTAAGAAAACAACCTACTCATAATTCCCTTGGCTTGAAAATGTAATATCAGTATGACTGAAGATTTCAGCCACATATTTCAATAAGAAATGACACTCAAGGTGTGGCTAAGTGTATTTCAATGAAAAAAAACTAAAAGAACATTTACTATTATTTCTTGGTGATAGTTTATCCAAAAATGTTTATAACATCAGAGACTTGTATGACAGATTTATAAAGCTCCATTATAACATTTCCCACTATTTCAGATATAATCAAAAGATGGTGGCATTTTCAGTGTTGTTTTTAATCTCCTCCCTCGTCCTCACATCATACCTGGGAAGTGTTGGTTTTATTTTAGCTAACTGCCTTAATATGATTGCTAGAATTTTACACAGGTAAATAATATGTTTTTGTCTTTTATCTTAGTTAAACCTGAGTAAGCTGAATTTGTGTAATGGTTTTGCCCAGCTTTGATTTTGGAACAGTTCATTTTATATTTAGAGTATAGGACCTGGACAAACTGCACTGATTTACAGGCTGGCCTGACTCTATTCTGGTAGCAAATGCTACTGGCTTTCTGTCCTGTGGGTTAAGGGCTAAATTATATTCTGCATTTACTCACATTTAAGACTGATCACCTATAAGTCAGGGTCTGTATTTTGTACTTAGACCTATTTTGATTTTCTAACATTCTTATCTGAAAAGAATTACTAAGACTGACTGGCACTTGACTAAAAGAAATTCTAATGAAGTCAATGTGTAAGGCAATTTGTTAGAATATTTATGATAGTTTTTAAATATTTGAAATATATTGCTTACTGATATTTGGGTTAATATTGTTTGGTTAGCCAAACTTAAGTCTTTTATATTTTGTTTTGTTTCAGTATCTATTATATTGGAGAGTATTACAAGAATAGTGAATATAAACCATTAAGTAATGTATGTCCATCTCCCTATGTGATTGCTAGTCTTTTACTGTCACTGTGTCTAACATGCATGTCTGAGGTAAGTCTACTGTTGTTAGTAAACAGGAATAGCCATATCTGATTATAGTGGTATTTCTCTTTTTTGTATTGGCGGTTTTGGCTTGAAGTATGCTACAGACAAATGAAAGTCAACTTTTTAAATCATTTAAATGTACTTTGCTTTTGATTAAAATTTAGTCGCAAGAGCAAATAAAATCTGAAGTTGACTTACAGAAGGTTGACGGTTCTACCCTAAGTAAATAAATTTAGTATTGAACCAACACATATTTAATATTCTTATTATTACATACCCAAAATAAAACCTGTTTAATGTGCAAAAGAATCATTTTTCATTGACACACCTATAGTGTAATGCTAACATTTGCCGCCTCTTTACACTATGTTTGTATGATGCAAATGACGTCAGGTCAAAATATATGCTTGGTTGTGCAATACTGTTTTTTAGGGAGTCACATAATCGGCATTGTGATAAATGTTGTTAACGAGAAAAACTATCAGGTCGTCAAACAGTCTTAAGTCACATTTCCTTGATATGATTTTGATATAGAATAAACAGGTAAAAAAAAAATTAAACAAATGCAATATGGGATATATTTGGACTCGTACACAGCTTTAGAAAATATTAGACGCACTTGGCAGCTTGTCGAATAAGATTTCCCCAGCTGTGTACTCTTCCAATATATTCCTTTATTGTACAGTTAAATGTTGAATAACCAATAATGTTACATCATGCAAATATTAATTATGTCATATGTCATAATGATCATAAATATTATTTATCTGTTACAGAGTTATTTTTGCTGTGATAAAGGAGCAGTTTACAGATTACTACATATATGTATAGGAGGGCTAGCATTATGTTCGACCCTTGCTGTGATCTACTGGAAAGAAACTCATGTTGTCACCTTTGTAAATGACCAGTACAGGAACAGACATAAACATTGATGATAAACATTGACAGAAATATAATTAGGGATCAATTAGTGAATTTTACATTGTTTTATAAATTATTTCTATATAACTTCATGTAGCCATGATTCAAACAATTCCTTTTAACTTTGAGTTAAATGAACTAAGACAAGTCTCACTTAGAAAATTATTGTTCTAATCATATTGTGGCCAAATTGTTATTTAAATGAGGCGAATCGTTTAGTTGCGGATCGTTATTGTGGCAAATCGTTACTAATTCATTCAAGCTTTATATTGCAGTCTCCTTTGAAATTTGATACATGAAATTGTAAATAAAATAAGGAAGAATTTATCAACACATTAATTTGTTAAAAAGGACCAGACTTTTTATATTATACAAACTTGAAAGCAATGTTAATTATTGATGAAAATTGTTTCTTTGTATTTAAAGATATATATAAATCAATATTAAATGTAAAATAAACATATTTAAATGTAAAATAAACATATTTTGAATACACACAGATATGTTATGTTTTAAACTCTACACACTATTCACAGGCAGTTTATTTAAGTGAATTCACAGTACAATGTATTATACATATATATATATATATATATATATATATATATATATATATATATATATATATATATATATATATATATATATATATATATATATATATATATATATATATAAAGACTTGTAATACTGATTATTATTAGAAGACATATTCAAGGTACTCTGTGAAATTGTTTTTTACTAAATTTTGTATTTTTTGTGAAATCAAAAAATATGAAACTGTTAAGAAATTCTTAAAGTAGCACACCTCCAGATTCATGTTAATTTTCTTGAAAATCTGAAAATGTATTTAACAGTATACTATTGTAAAGTTACCAAAAGAATGCAATTTACACATTATCTATGGCACTTACAACCTAGGTAAATTACTATAAAGAGGTCAAAATATGCAAAAATAGCCGTTGCTGCATTAGTAACACAGTAGAAATATAGTTATACATACTGAAAAAACAGTCATTAGTCGCACATAACATGTAAATTTTTAATAGAATTTTTAATTTTTACATTTTTCCCAGGTTTGATTATATCAAAATATTTTTGCTCATCTGGAGGCGTGCAGCTTTAAGATTTATATAAATTTTGATCCAGTGCCATGTAACTAGGTATATATGTTTTACTTTAAATCTACTTTTTCGCTTTATCTGCAAATTAAAGCACTTTTTCTGGACTCTTGTATTACTTTTGCAAGATTTATTATACATTTTCTGTAAGCACATGCACGTTTAAAGATTATTTTAAATTTCACATTCAATTATTGAGAGTATGCAGGTATTTTAATTAAGTCATATTTTGGTGTTTGGTGTAAAGCTATTGTTGTATTGCCTAATGTTTATATAAAGTTATATAAATAAGCAAATACAGATTTAAATGTTATAATTGTAATTAAATAGTTACGTGTGCCGCGTACCTATATTTGTTTTAAATTAAATTGTTTATTTATTATTAATATTATATGCAAATTAAATAAGGATTAAATGATACATCTCTTCTTCTTATAATTTATTTTTCTTCTCCTTCCTGTCGTCGTTATATTCAATCAATAGATATATTTTGACTGTCCCAAACATTTGGCGGTATACGGCCCGAAAAATATTAATGGTATTTTATTGTAAGTACTATTTTAAAATGCAATAAAGTAATAAAACCTCTGATGAAATCAAAGAAAAGCGTTTACCTTTGCGATAGCCATGTAGTTTAAGGAATATGCAGGATTGTTTAGAATAACTGCAGAAACAGGAACGGTCAGTCAAAATGTTACATTTTCGACATATTTGAGAGTGTCTGCCTGAGTAAAAATTTTCTTAAACAGAATATGATTTAAAATGTTATCGAATATCGATATATACATGTACACTGAAAAATAGCAAAATTAGAACCGCATATTGAATATAAATTTTATTATATTACATATGTTATGTATCGATGGTAAAAAGTCACATCAAATACTGTTAAGGACCATAAAGTGACATTATTGACGGACTCTTCCGGGACACACAAAAAGAACCACAGAGTATTTCCTTACATAAAACAATTCAACATGATTGTCACATCTTCCATTAACCCTGCAAAGATACCCTCCCCCCTAGATTTCTATTAATCTATTATTTAGACGAGGGGTGCGTGTATTAGTTTAAACATGCTTATTTTAGCTCGATTGTGACGAAAGATAGAAGTTTATTCAAACCGCTGTTTCCTTGAACTAACCAGGACTGGTATCATTTGAGAAAATATTATCGTGACAAAGTTGGGGTTCCAACCCACGAACCTCGGGTTGCGGGGTAGACACCTTTGTTTTTCCATAAATGTTAAACCCATGTTTGGGACCTAGATGTGCGCTTTAATTTCCGCCAGTTAACTGCATCGTTATTTGGATTCGAATCCACGACGCATTAGTCCGATATTCTACCCCTAGGCTACTCTATCCCCATCTTAACTGCTTGGCCACTGTTATGGTTACCCATATACTGATTGCATGTGAATGAATTTGTTATTAGTATTATAATAATTATATATGTTTCCAAATCTGTGAGTATAATAATAATTATTGTCGATGGTATAACTTTCTTTATATTTATTATTATTTTTATTATTATTATTAATTTATTATTATAAATTTATTATTATAATAGAAACGGCTAAAGCCGTCCATATGGCAAATACGCCGAAAATAACAAATAACAAGGACGACATAAGCCGTCCCTATGGCAGTGAAAGGGTTCATCAAACTGACTTTGTATATTGAGTGTAATGATGGTTTGTCAACATAACAGTTAATGTGTAGTAACACTAGACTTTCATATAAATGATTTCACAAACTATACACCCTTCATTGCGATTGTTCAGTTCAAACTACAATATATTTGTTCGGAATTTACGCATTCAAAATAAATTAATTCAAAATACAATAATGATCCAAAAAGTTAACATTTTAAATTCAGTTGACGAAATGACGAGTTGAGGAAACAACTTTGTTTGACGCTTACCAACCACACGACATGTGCAACTTATCCGCTTCCTTAACGGTCACCCTAGGCTAAGCAAAACCACCAGATAACATTTTATTACCATTTCACCGGTTTGTATACATCGCCAACCAACATTGTCATTCATTTGTTCCAAGTTTAGTCATCTGTTGCGAAATGCCACTCTTTCGACTGTTACTGTGTGCTGTAGCTGTAAATGAAAATTTCCATATTTTTTGTACATGTACTAATGCAAAAAGGTCTCATTTTTTACGAAAGAAAAATATTATCATATGATATCGTTTGTTTTTAATGTTAAAATATAACCAATATTACACATATTTCATATATAAAAAATGGTTCGTTTAACGGAGATTTAACGGAGTTTTCATCAGTTTTAAGGCCTTATATTACGTGCTAAAAATTCGTTATCATTTCAAAAAAACTTACAGTTAACTTTTAAGAATGACATTCGCTTCCCTATATCATGTCCCTTGACTCGTGTAAAAATCCGGCAGGTTTATGTAAAATGACGACTCGAGTAAGATCCGATGTAAATTGGTGACGTCATAAACATTTACGTCGCTGCGTCATTAACGTTACGTTGTTTCCATATGATTAATGTTCATTCAAAGCTAACAAAGCGAGAGTTATACACACTATTTTTCTTTCAGTCAACATATTCAAATGTTTTAGAAGACTTTCAAGCTTAAAGGTAAAAATAATGTAATATTTTGTAAATATATATGTGTTACGTATGAAACAATATTTAAAATTACAAGAATTTACATTATTTGCAGCTCTTGGCTAAAATAACAAAAAAAACATCATATAAAAATATTGTTAACCAATGACGTTAGATATTAATTGAAATGAAAATATACATGTTTAAAACCAAAATACGGGTAAATACTATAATTTTACCGGAGAAATTGGACTCAGTTTGTGCATTTTATATATTGATATTTGTTTTATTTGAATGGAATTACCTGGACTGAACATTTCTAAATTTCTAACGGTCGTGAAATATCAGTCAGTTCCAATCCAGACCACAGACTATCTAGTCCTGTCAGCCGGATTGCTTAAATTATTTAAGTTTATTTGCTTTGTAAATGTTACCATACACCTTTCATACCTACAACTATTTATTTCAGTAGAATGATTTAGGAAAATTTATAGTCAATGAAAACAAGATATGGTAGTCAGCACATATTGACTTTGTATGTTGATTATTCACAGATGACATCAACAAGAAATGATAAAGTAAAAGTACAACTGCGGATGTTCAAGTCTCTGAAATGTTATCCGGGTGGGGCAAATGACTACTTCGTAGCCGTGGTCGGTCCGGGCATTCAACTTGGCAATGATAACCCCGAAATTGCGCCAAGATGCAAGCCTATCGGGCGTAACGTTTGGGGGAAAGACTTGTGGTAGGTTTTATAACAAATATGTCTAAAAGCAAAAAAAAAAGTTATTTATTTTCTAACCGTCACAAATCGCACAACAGCTCTTCGTTTCATTCCAAATAACAGTATTTTTCCTTTACAACACATCAGGATAGTCATTCAAGATTTTTGTTGATACCAAATGTTTTCTAAAAATTTCTAAATATCAGAATTATTGAAAGATTGTTCAATAATACCTCATTGTAATAAAACTAGCGATTAGCTCTTTAGAATCGTGGTTCCCTGGGTTGCTTAGACAAAGAATCTTTATTTGATATTCGGCTCAAGACTCTTGATTGCTTAGACAAAACATCTTTATTTGATATTTGGCTAAGAATAATTCTAATTGCCATGTTTTATATTTAAGGCTTCCGAAAGACAGTTTTGTGAATTACAAGTTTTTAGTAGTACGATCATGTACAGGAAAGGTGGTTAATATGGATTCGACAACGTCTCATAAGATATATATTGGTCAGCATCCAATAATGGTGGAACATACATACAACAAAACAGCATTTGCTGGAAAAGAAGGTACAGCTTTACCTGTCTTTCGATGACCGAAATAAACATACTACTTAGTTTTATCAAATTTCATATAAAGTAATATCTAGCCTTTTTTCAATATCAAATGTATAGTTCACTCCAAAAGTGATCACTGCAAATAAAAAACAATAATTTCAATTTACTTAAAGAAAGGAATGACAAAAGATAAATTCAACTGTTTAAGTTAGTTCTATTAAAAATGAATAGTATTTAGCCTTTACCCTGCTGGCGGCAACTGATTATACCCTTGCGATCAGTGTTTACAAAAATTAGCAGGTACATGCGTGCCGTCTAATTATTATGGTATGCACCGTCGCTATTCAGTCAGCAATTGCATTTTTCGGCCCTTTCCGTCAGTCTTCGGATATTCTATTATTGATAATAGCCGAGATGTTCCGATTGATTCAGTCAGTACATCGTATTTTGACATTTCCAAAATAATCATGAATAGTTTTGTCCAAGTTAAAAGATGGGCAAGTCCATTAATATATATGGAGTGGTAAAGGCTAAAATTATCTATTTATTAGGATTAGGTGACGCCAACTAAAGCCCTAAAAGCAGAACGATATTGTCGCTTGCTTACCACTGAATGGAGAATATAACATTCACACATAAAATGTTCTTTATTACTACAAACGTCCTTTATGGACACAATTTATTTGTTTATTAACTATCTCAAAAATGCATTAAGACATTATGTTTACTTAATTTCACACAGTCAAATTGTTTTTTTTGCAAATGGTTTGTACATGTTATATTTATTTTAGTATACCCTGAAAACAATCGCCCAGCGCCGTCTCTAGGCAGGAAGGAAACATTTCACGTGCCAAGTCTCAATATTCCACGTGCAGATAAAGAAGTCTTTGTTGTACCAAAAATCAAAAACCCTGAAAAATACTTGCCGCCACGAAACATTGGGCTGATACATTGCAAAAGAATGGTACCCGCCACAGTCAAAGTAGACGGTATGTTGCCTTTATTTTTCTTCTTCATATATTAACAACTACAGAGGCATTCCAGTCATAAAAGAGCGGGTTATTAAGGATTGCATACTGATTTGTTTTAAATATGATGTGTATTGTTGATATAGGACGATCTAATTTTTTAAAAGCACCCGAGTGAAGATTTAACCACATAAAGATCTTTGCATTTTTAAGACATGTACTAAGAATTAGCGAAACTAATATGATTTCGAATTATTTGACAAGTTGGCGGACAGTTTTCATCCGTCATTTATTTGGTGTATATTTAGTTCACTCAAACAAGATTCATGTGTAGAGATATAAAGAATTTTTATTTGGAAAGAGTATAGGAATAATAGACACGACATAAATGTGTTAATTTCTAAAAGGAACTTCAATCTACTCTATCAAGCACTAAAATAATGTCGAATTAAATTTTTAAAGCGCATGTGTTGATATTTTCATTTTCATAAGTAATTGTTATCAGTTTGACTTTTAAATCGGAACCTATAAAATACCTTAAACTTTTCAGATATTATCAATACTGGAGCAGATGTCAGCCCGGATATCCCACCACATGCAACAAAAAGCAACATTCACACTCCTTGTGCTGCACAGAAGGCCAACAAATCTCCAGGTGCTACAAAGTACATAAGCAATGATAACCTTGTTAATATAACAAATTCCGTTCATAGTGCCCAAGACCTCCAGGATTAACAGAAAATAACAACGCCATACGTGCTGCAGAGGACAACAAAGTCCTAACTAGTGTGGAGATCAATGATTAAATTTCAAGCGAAAAAGAAAACAACAAGAACAAGCATCAATGTGCTACGAAGGACAAGGACGACGTTACATGTGCTACAAAGAGCAGCAGCAACGCTCCAATTGCAACAGAGAACAATGATATTAGAGTACTTATACATGTATTTATTTTTAAAGCCAAATTGTTCTATTCTTTATTTCGTTTTACTTTAAAATAAGCTCCCTTGATGGTGGAGCCAAATTTCGTGTAGTAAACGTATACCTTATATGATATTGACTTTGGTACTTTATTTCTCTGTACCTTTCTATGCAAAATATTTGTTACTTTACCTTTTAAGTAAATTTATATTTTGTATATGATACCGAACATACATTATATTACGTTCAACGTGTATGTGTTTACTATGTCACATATATTTCAGGAAATGACATCATTTGCGAGAAAGATTCCACAGTGCAAATGGATGACGACATAACAAAGAAGCTCAGTAACAACGCTGATCAGTTCACATTTGGAAAGAATACCCTGGTCCTTGCTGTGTCTGGAATCTCTTTGATTTCTGCCTTTGGATATTTTGCTTTCTTCAGCAGATAAATTTGAATAACCTTAGATAAATGAGAATTATTTGTCAATAGATTTCATATAATCTAAAGTTAAGCCTTGGTTTAATTGTGATCCCTTCAAATTATGAAAAAAGACAAAAAATATCACACACAAACAAATGCATACTATCCTTTCTAGAAATTATTAAGTCTTACTGCGCTTAATTTCACAAATGCACCTGTCAATATGCATGGCTGTTTATATCGTTTTGTTTCAAAAGCGGCATTAATATGCGATAAGTAATTTTTAATTATTACAAACATGTAAAAATTGAATCATAGAAAAGCATTCTTTTGTGAGGAATCTGTCAGGGGTTCTTGTCATGTGTCCATGTATGGTGTTTTACAGTGTTTGTTGTGACTTCCAAATTTTTAAAGTTAAAACCATTTTCATGCTCTGCTTAAACCGTTGCTAGCAGAGATGGTCGGAGCTTGCATATACCACAGCTGTCCATCAATACGTTCAAGACTTACCTTAAAAATCAAGGCGAAAAATATAACATTTTGAACGAACGTTTCTGTGTTTCATAGAATATCGCGTACATGTATATATATATATGTACTCAGATTTCGAGGCTAGCCCAAATTATCTTTCCTTTTTCGGTGCCGTATGACGTCAATTGTGTTTATGCACCGTAAAACAAAACCAAACAAAAACAAACACTTCTTATCGCAGTCTAATAAGCTAGGCTTTAATTAAAGTCCGCAGTCTAATAAGCTAGGCTTTAATTAAAGTCCGTGTATTTTGTTCCTGGTCGTATACCGTCTGTCCTGTCCTGAACCTATCAAAACGGATAATTTAAGACCACATGATGCATAAAATGGACGACAAAATAGCTCAAAAAGGCCTATGGGGCCACCCGCCATATTTTTGTCTTGAAAAAATTGAAACATTAAGCTCAAAACCAACGGAGAGAAAAAATAACGAGGCTAACAGTCACTGGTAGAAGAGACGTTATGATTTTTAAAAGGTGATGTATTTTGTCCAATCAAATAAAACTGTTGGAAGAACATGTCATACGGTAAAATAACCAGTTTAGATGAATTTGATGTCGTTAAAGTAAAATAATACTGATAAATATGTTGCTTATGCAAAAGGACAAAAAGCAAAAGCACATGGTTAAGGTAAGAGCTAAATTACGTCCTCTTAAAATCTACGAGCGTGCAAAAATGAGACGTGAACTCTCGAATTTCGAATTGTGCATACTTTTAAATTGCAATGTGGCTGAATATATATTTGATTCATACCGTCTTGTCACATAGAGTATTTTGTTTTTTGAAGCAGCGTAACAGAGCAACATTGAAATTTCAAAGCTAGTATAGAGTTCGAGTATGTTGAAATACATTATAAATTTAATATAAAAATCACTACATTGCATTTTCATGCAGCAAAAAAAATACAATATAGACATCAGGTTCTGACAGGCTTCGAAGTTCGAACTTTCATCAAGCATAGTATCGTTGTCAATAAGCGTGGTGAAGGTTCCAGTCTTCTATTATGATGAATCTATAATGACATCCCGTCGGTTTTTAACCCTTTTTGCCCTGTCCTGTTTGGTATATTACCAGTGGTCCTGTGTTGGGGATGCGTTCTTTGTTGATCTTCTTTTTAAAATTTCCAGCATTCATAATAACTAACTAGTAATAACTGAACCTGTGAGCAGAAAATCAGTGTCAATGACTATATTGTGACATTAATTAAGTAAGTATTATAAGCATATTACTTGGGCTTCTTGTGCAGACCGGAATATCTAGCAACGAGGGTCTGTCGAGTTTCTGTTAACCGAGAGCTAGATAGTCCGGTCTTTGGCAAAAGCCATATAAATCATATTTTTGAAGGGAATTACAAAAAATTATTTTTGCACATTTTTTCTTATAGTATAGTATTATAATTTCATTCCTACCAAATCATTCATAAAAGGCGGAAGAGATTAACGTCATTGAATATGATAACAAAGACAAACATGAAAAGGAAACATTCAATCAGCACAGCTTCAAAAATCTAGCATAATCGCATTGCCGATAAGTAACCCAGCAGACAACTGAAGTCACGCCCGTGAATTCTCCAAAGGTTTTTTAAACATCATTTTGAATTGAAAGATGAAACACCTTTCAAAGAACCGAATCGCAGATTTTCTGCAGCATTATATGATGGAGTTCATCAGAGAATGATGGATGAAAATATTATATGAGAGTCTAATTTGTTTTTTCTTCTCAAATATTGTCCTTGTACGAAAGCTAAACATATATTCTTTGAATTTGTGATTATTGGCGTAATTTGAACAACCGAACACGTAAAAAAGCATACATACGCTTTGATGACACTATTGATGTCTTATCAGGTTTAAAAGATTTTTCTAAAATAGACTTTCATTCTGCATATTGGCAGAATATGATAAGCTTAAACCTCCTTTCTCTGCTTTAAAGATGTATTATGCTCGACCTTGAGTAAAATACTTGAATCACAGAAATTTATTGAAATCTGTTAAATTCTTACTGAGTATGTTTGATTTGAATACAAGAATAATTACACTATGTATGGGAAGCTACATTCCCTAACTGCCATTTTTTTAATGACACTATAAATTTATATTGACACCAACTATATTGTGTAGGATTTGTATCTACTTTGTATGCAGTCAAAACATGTTTCTTAAATATTTACAAAGAGTGTGTAGCAATTATCAATATTTTCTATTGTGAAATTTGAACATAGTATATCTTTAAGGTTATCTTTTGAAAGAAATTTTTATCATACTGTGTATTTTATAACTAATATATTATGTATTTCAGTCATTTATAGACCCTCATCAAGCATGGCTGACATTAAGTATATTCAAACAAAGTTTCCTTAAGCAGATTCTTACTGAAGGTATTATTTTTAATGTTTATTTTCTTTTATTGAGTATCATACAATATGTTGACCCCAAGCACTCATTAGCAACTCATTAATAAAGGTTGGTAACATTAAACAGTTTGGTACAGAAACTAATATATGCAGATTATGATTCAATAATGTCTAACTTGACCTTTCTGACAGATAAACCCTGCAACCACCCACCCCCAGCACCCACCCTAGTAATTTTTGTTGCCATCAAAGTTCTTGTAAAATTTCTGCCCTGTAGAGGACAGTCAGGTGATAAAATCTCTGCTAATTCACCCAACTGTTAGTCTGGTAATACAGGGACATCTAGAAGACAAAAGCACCTTTAAAGATCCTGTATGTTTTGTGATTGATATTGTTACTGTGTGTATACCACACTTGCAAAAAATTATATATGTATATAATTATGCGAATAAAACAATTTTCAAACATCAAGGAATATGTAAAATGTGTACTGCAAATATTTGTGCACATTATATTTAATCAATAAATTATATGCATTCATTTCTTATTGGAAAATTTGACTCCCTTTATTTACATGAAATGTTAAATTCGGTAATATCTTTATAAATCTTGCTAATTGGAACTTACAGTATTGAAATGACTTAATTTGAGCATTATATTTATGAAATAAAACCATTAAAAAATGTGTTACAGGATCTTTAATTTCCCATACTGTTCTCCAGACTCCATGGATGCATAAAGGTGTGCATGACTGGTGCTTGGCTTTAAAATGTTCAGTTTAGAAAAAGTGGAATGGTCATATTGGTTGCAGTAATCTATTAAATAGCGTATCATGGAATTCCCTACATCATTAGAATATAATTTATGATGATTTAAAATTTAACTTTAAAATTTTATAGTTTCTGCTTCATGTTATATGTCGTTGACTCAGAACTGATATCTTGCAATGATAAGAAAGAAGACTAAAACAACGTAAGCTATTGCAGTAGATGATGACAGTACTGTATTGGTTCACACTGATTTTTTTTATTTCAGGTGGAAAATATGTTATGACCATATTTGGAGTTTTAAGCTTTGCAGACCAAGGTATGCTTTTTAATATTAAGATATTATTTTAACACAATTGACAATACAAAGATGTATATATGTTGTGCAAAATATGTAGGTATCTACCATATAATAAAGGTGTTATAATTGAATCAATGTATACTAATATACTGAAATTTAACAACCTTTAATTTGCTTCTACCTTACCAAGTTACCATTCTAAAAATCTTAAATGGACTTGTCCATCTTTCAATCTGGTAAAAACCATTTTAAGGGAAAATTTCAAAATATCTATGACTGAATATCAAAGAGTGATAACCATAGGGGTGTTAGGCTAAGTGGTTAAACCACTTGTCTGTCACTGCTGTGGGTTAGAATCCCGACACAGACTTAAGATGTTTTCATGTGAGGAAGCTATCCAGCTAGCTTATGGAACGTCAGTGGCTCTTTGCCTATGTTGACTTATACTACTTTTTGGGTAAAACAAGTAAATTGCTAAAGACATGTTCAGTGTCATACGGAAGCTGTTCAAATTATCTCTTTTCTGTGCTTTAGTGTAAATTTAACGTGTTATTCCTATACTATTGCAGAACATTGACTTCATTGTTTGTTCTACTTTAATTAATGTTATGTTTGTGGATGAAGAATATGTTCCATATACTGCTAAATATTTTGACCAAACAAAATATTGGCTGGGTTGTTTTCATTTTTAGCTTAGGGAAAATTGGAATATTTGTTTAACCGTAATTAATTATATAATTTTTGTTATTCTTGACCCCTATAGATCAGAATTTGATTACAAAATTATAGTTGCATTAATTTCTAATAAAAATTCTGATGGTTTATGTTGTAGGTATATATGATATAGTAAACAATCTTGGATCCATGGCTGCACGTTTTATATTCCAACCAATAGAAGAAAGTGGTTACCTGTTTTTCTCACAGCTCTTAGTAAGAGGGGAACCAGTCAATAAACAAAAACAGGTGATTTATTAATGTACAGCAGATTTATTTTGATTTATTATGTACCTCAATGGTTGATACTGTCCAGTTGATGCTAAAGTCTTGTAAATATTCAGCAGATTTGGGCTCCAGTCTGACTATATTGTAAGGCTACTATAGCATGTTTTGACATGGAATGTAAGAGTCTTTTCTATCATAAAGGATTTAAATCATAAAGCATTTTATGAAGCCTGAAGTCATCCACAAAAATCAAAATACATGTAATTATGTCACATGCCTTTTATACCTTACACTGGTAATAAATAGAGTAATATATTAAATGAGTGTAAGTTCAATACCAAATTTATTGAACGAGTTAAATAAAATAATATTATGCGAGTCTCTGGCGAGCATAATATTATTTTATTCAACGAGTTCAATAAGGAACTTACACGAATATAATATTCTATCTATCATATACCAAAAGTATAGACCGTTTGAAGTGAAAACAAACCATTTTTCATTGACCCGCCTATAGTATAACGCTAACATTTTGCACATCTTAAAGCTATTTTTATATAATGCAAATGACGTCACATCAAACCTTGCAATACTATATTTACGGAATCACAAAAACAGCACGGGTATATGATAAAAAGAAATATATAGAGGATATTTGTTTGTTTGTGTGTAAGATGAAATTTTATTTCATCGAGTGGGCTTTAAAAACAGTATTTTCACAAGAAGTCTTGAGCCGCCAATCAACGTTAAATGACGGTGATATTTATTTATTAGTCCCCTACCGGTTTAACCGGAGGGGACTTTAGGTTTACCCTCCGTCCGTCTGTCCGTCTGTCTGTCTGTCCGTCTGTCTGTCTGTCTGTCTGTCAGTCTGTCAGTCCGTCAGTCCGTCCGTCCACAAAACTGGATCCCGCGATAACGCAAAAAGTACTGAAAATATTTTTATGAAACTTGATATATGGATAGATGGCAGTATGGAGATTATGCACGTCTTTTTTTTTTCTTTCTATGTTGAAAATTCTGGTTGCTATGGCAACAAATAGTCTGAAAATATGGCAAATTTAACACATAAACTGGATCCAGTGATAACTCAAAAAGTACTGAAAATATTTTTATGAAACTTGAAATATGGGTAGATGGCAGTCTGGAGATTATGCACATCTTTTTCTTTTCTTCCTATGTTGAAAATTCTGGTTGCTATGGCAACAAATAGCCTGAATTTCAAGATTTCTGATTTAAATTTTTCAGCTTTTTTCACTATATGTTCTTTATTTCTTAAGGTGTTTACTTCAAACTTTAAATACAAGTTTCTGGTCATCAACCACATCATATGTGACAAGGTTTATAACTCTAGCACAAAAATATCAGTATTACCTCCCTTGAACTTAGATTTTTTAGGGGAAAAAATGTTGTCTTTTTTAAATAACTTCTTTATTTCCTAATGTATCTACTTCAAACTTCATATATATGTTTCTTATTATCACTCGACATTTTTGAGAAGGTTAAATACTCTAGCAAGACTATTTCCAGAATTATGTCCCCCTTGAACTTAGATTTTTTTCGAGAAACTGGTATTTTCACTCCAACTTCTTCATTCCTTATAGGATTTAATTTAAAATCCCACATCGTAATAATATGACAAGGTTGTATAAACATAATTTCCTTACTAAGCATGGAAACTTAACACATTACTGTGATATAGACAAACTTATTTTATTATGTTTTGTGGTTGATATTTTCAAATACAGACTTCATCCTCAAATTCATTATAAATGGCAATACACAGGAGTGTATGACAATTAAAGAACTTTTTGAGGGACCGGTAGGGGACTACTGTATTGCCCGCAATACTATCAAATGCTTGTTTTATTCAAAAATATGAATGATCGCTTGTTTTAATAATAAAAACAAACAATTCTTGTAGAAGGAAAAGTCCAACCATCCATCCATATTTCTGTTTCTTACTGCGAATTTATATTAGACCTGGCTTTGTAAATTGTAAGCGGCAGCCATTTTTTAAAGTTGTGCATTTCATGGGAGGAAAGATTCAGAGGGATATAATTTGGATTTGTTAGTCATACACCTTTTTAAAAGAAAGAAAACTTATTTTGAGGATTGTAACAGACAACAAATAAGTGTTGACAGATGTGAAAACATTCAGAAAAGGAGCTAGGAAAATGGAAAACTTGGAAGCTTGCTCAAGAATGCTGGGTTGTTTTACTTATTCTTCGAGTGATGGCTGTCAATGCTTTTCAATTTTTCATAAAGCATACAGCAGTTATTGCTCGTAGGACACTTTAATATGCCCAAATGTCATCAAGAGCAGTTTTGCATGGGGAAGGAATGTATTTTTCAGACTGTAAAAATGAAACAAATTTAGAGACGAAATTCATGAAATTTGGTGATTGGAATTTGAATGAATAGAAGTAAGTTTTCTTCTTTTTATAACTTTTGACATTTAAGTTATTTATAAATTTCAACTTTGCTTTTTCTTTAAACAGCTTGACATTGTCAGAATTGTCCGGAAAAATAAAATTGAGGTACCACATGGGGAAAATCTTAAAAAAGTAGTTTCGTCATTGAAAAGAGTGAAATTATATTTTGATAATTTTCACTGTGAAATTACCAAATATAATTTTCACGGATAAATCAGTAATCCACTGAAATCAGTAATCCACTGAAAAGCATAAAATAAATCATGATAAAATTACTTGAAGAACAAATAACAACAACAACAACAACAGCAGCATATTTAATTGAAAATAAGGCCACCAGCCCATTATATACAGTGCAACACAATATAAGAATCATTTTACATCCTTCGATTAACATCATTTGATAGACAAGTGTGATGTAGTGAAAGAAAGTACAATGATGTCATAGAGACTCATAGGGAAGACTGGGCATGCCTAGCCATGTTGCCTCTTTAAATGAAGTCTTTATTGTTATTATTATTTCAGGAATCGTGTCAGTTAGCTGTTGACGTAATGTCATGTTTGTTGAAGCTAGTGATACTGATTGGTGCTATAATACTGGTGTTTGGTATACCGTATTCCTATCTGGCGTTAGATCTATATGGTGGTACCATGCTCTCATCTGGGTCAGGTATGTATAAATAGCTATAACACAAGCACTTTCAGCAGTATAGAAATAGGCAATACTGTATGCAAGACTCCCCATGTTGATATTGTTTGTAAACCTCATCAAGCATAGACTTCATACATATATTTATCAGTCTTTTAAGACTCTATATTGTAAGCAGTGTAGTATAAGGGTTTTGATATCAACATTCCTTTGATCAAGAATAAACAGTTCTTAATAGAAAGCAGGAGGGGTCCATTACATTGATTAATATGATTGCAAAGAAGGTATTCAGTTGCTAAATAAAGTCAATAGTTGCTATGAAATGTCCCTAGTTGCTATGGAAAGTCAATGGTTGCTGTTACAAGTCTCTGGTTGCTGTTGAACATTCATGACTTATGTGAAGTCACTAGTATCTGTGAAAAGTCAGTTTTTGCTATAAAAGTCTCTGGTTGCCATGGAAAATAAAAAGTCAGTTTTTGCTATAAAAGTCTCTGGTTGCCATGGAAAATAATTTGCTGCTATAGAAGTCAGTTTTTGCATAAAAACGTCAATGGAACTAAATGTAGCTATAATGAAAGCCCATTGATTGCAAAATTGATGGAAAATCAACAGTTTTGTATAGTAGTCAATTGTTGCTAATGCAACAATTAATGGCTGCTTTTGAAAATAACTTGTTGATATGGAAAGTTAAGAGTTGCTATCGAAATAACTGATCAACAGTTCCTTTATATGAAAAGTCAATGGCTGTAATAGAAATCACTACTTGTTTAGGAAAATCAATCTATGCAATATAAGTCAATGGTTGCTAATGAAAGTCTCTGGTTGCTATTGGAGTCAATGATCACTGAGGGCATAACCATTTATGAGTTCAAGGCTATAGTTTGGAGAAAAAAAAGCACCACTAGACTAAAATGTTTTTTTTTATCCCAAATTCAAGTGGTCCACTGGACAAAAATGTATTGTATCAAATATTAAAGAAATTTGCCCTACATTTTCTTCCATTGAGAATGTATTCCTTCTAAATTCCAGACAGTCTATTTCACATTATCTGTCCCAAAACAATTTAAAGTGATAAAACTGCATGATTATTTGATTGTAGAATTACGAATGTGGTACTCTTGACAGGCATTTTAATCACTATATCAAATGCTTCAGCATAAGATTTCCTCAGATCATTTATCCTTAACATTTATTAAAGAATGTGTAACCAAATCACATAAGATTTTTAATATTTTTATGCAATTCTTCCATTAAAAATATTTTCCTAAATTTGTAATATGTTTTTATGACAAACCCAATTTTATTTTTGATGACTTAAAGTGAATCGGTCTATAACACTGTATAATGTTTGGTCTGTTAAACAAAAAATAATTATGTTGATAGTATTTAGTATCAGATATTTCAACAAACCACAATAGAATCATATGTGGATGTTGTTGGCAGTGTCAGACACATGATCCGATAATACATATATATTTATATTGCAGATGATAAAAATGTTCTAAAACAAAATATTATTATTCATCATATAAATGTTTAATACCATGTATACTACTGAGAACATGAACAGCACTTTTTCCCCAAGCACTGTTTTAATACAATTTCCAAATGATACATTCCTATTATTTTCATCAATTTTTAAAACACTAATGGAAAATGTGTCCATTATAGATCTATCCACTTTATTGTACGAAAAATATCAAACATATGCAGTGGATTAGGTAATAACTTATGTTGATAATGCAGTTAAAATTGTATTGTTCTATGACAGTTTATAGATGAAAAGGAAGTTGTCATGTTTTTTATTCATAGCAAGACAGCTATAATACAGCTTTTTTGTTTCTCCACACCAACATACAGCCACTGGTTCCTTCAGATCCTGCAGCACCACCTTTCCTGTAGAACAGTCTCCTGATATCTCTTCTATAACATTTCTCTCCCAGTCACACACAAAGACAGTACCATCATCTGACAGTGACATTCCACAAGGATCACTCATACCACTATAACTACCTATCACATCACCTTGCCAGTTTAATCTTGTTATTGTCTTCATTACACAGTCAGTTACATAGATAGAACTTCTGTTACTAATGACATCACATGGAGAACTGAAAATATTATGTCCAGCAATTGTTTTCAGTATAGTGCCATTCATATCAAGTATCTGAAGTTTTGCAGGATTAAGGTATGACACAACAAGTTTTTCTTGGTAACAGCTTATACCATGACATTTTCCATCAACCTTTACAGCGTGCTTCTTTATGAGTTTGTTTGATGAGATTGATATAAATTTTATTGTTTGTATGTTAGGAAGTATGACAGCAAGTTCAGTACTGCTTACTCTGGTGATATCCAATGGTTTAGCATCTAGTTGTAGTTGATCAGACACAGATTGACTGCTGATATCCACCATCTTTACAGCATAGTTATCACAGTCAGTGATGATAAGAAGATCAGGAGTCAGCAGAGTCATTCCTGTTATATGGCTGTTGTGTTCATCTTTTGATGTCTTTACACAGATTTCTCCCTCATGTGAAGACTGTCTAGACTTTATCTGTATAGGTTGACATTCTTTATTAAAAGTTTTCAGTGTACCCAGTGACTTTGTTTTTTTAAACACATTTAATATTACATCATTTGATTGAAAGTTGTGCTCTTTGATATCATACGATAAAAGTTGTTTAGCTTTTCCCTCCACACTCTGTATTGTTTTCTCTGCAAGTTTTAGTTCCATAAAAAGTTTGTTGGCCTGTTGTGATGTGTTTAGTTGTTTGATTTTATCTGCTGATATCTTCAAAGATTTGGTTATAACTTCACAAATTTCTTCTACTGCTTTCAGATGTTTTTTGTTATCTTGTTCTATGACTTTAGCTGCATCTTCAGCCTGTCTCTCAAGTTCATCTAGTCTTTGGTTGATTTCTTGCCGAAACTTTTTAATGTCAACGAATGCATGTTTGAGAGAGCTGTTTGATTTGTATATCATGTTCTTGACATCTTCTACCATCTGTTGAAATTTGTCAGAAGTGGTATTTACTGCATTCAAGATAACTTGATATTCTTTGCTGTCTATAATATCACCAGAACTGTCTGGTATATAGTTAACTTTGCAGGAAGCAACTTGATGTTCAAGGGTAACACAAACACTGCACAGAAATTCTGTATGGTCATTGCAGTAGAACTTGATCATTTCTTGTGGATGTTTAACACATAATGTGGTTAGGACATCAAACTGACCTGTGTGTGTGGATGTTGAGGGTTGCTGCAAAATTTTAGGCATATTAGTAGCGTCCTGAAGTGTATGATGTTTGGAAAGCCTATTTATTTTATGGGCTGTAAAACATGTGTGGCAAAGATGTTCCTTGCAGTCAGTGCAGTAACCATGGGCAGGGAGTCTCGGTCCTTCCTCATCACAAGGCTGGCAGTAAACTTGAAGATCTTCATCTGATGTCATGGATGTTGTAGATGATGAAAATTGTTTTGAAGCTTTCTTTCCTGACACTGCCATGTTTTACCTAAAATGCATTATAATAGATTACTTTGTATTGCATGTTTGTCAAATTGCCTTATTGTTTATAATTATGTCATAGCTAGCAGACAATTTAAAACATTAGTAGTATCTTGCTTACTTTTACAGCTTGTTTAGAGTAAAAAGATGAGCTGAAAATATCTTTTAGAAATTAAACATTTTAGATTTATATTTTAGATGCTATTATAATATAACAGTCTCACTTCATTGTAAGATCCATATTGGTTTTCATTTAAAATTATAAAAATGTATTAATTTTGTTAATGTCAAAATATTTGTTGTGTTACGATAAATTCAATAATATTATCTTACCATTTCTCATCAAAATAAAACTTAATGAAATATGTACAAATATGTAAGTATGCCGTTGTGACAGACAAAATGACATTAACTATTTTTATGCCCCTCTTCAAAGAAGATGGGGTATATTGCTTTGCATTATTCTGTCTGTCGGTCATTTGATCGTTTCGTAGACCAAATGGGTTCCTATAAATAACTAAAGAATGCTTAGGCCTAGGAACTTCAAAACTTGGTATGATGATTGTTTATGACCAGTAAATGGCCTTATTGATTTTAAGGTCCAATGGGTCAAAAGTTCAAGGTCACATTGACATTGTAGGTAAAAAACATTTCTGATCAATAACTTAAGAAGGGTTTAGATCCTAAGGATCTTCAACTTGATATGATGATTGTTTATTTACCAGAAGTAGATTATCCTATTGATTTTGTGGTCAAGGGTCAAAGGTCAAGGTCACATTGACCTTGGAGGTAAAAACTGATTCCGATCAATAACTGAAGAATGCTTAGGCCTATGAACTTCAAACGTGGTATGATGATTATATATGACCTGTTGATGTAACCCCTATTGATTTGGGGTGACATTGACTTAGTAGGTAAAAACGGTTTCCGATCATTAACTAAAGGATGCTTAGGTCTAGGAACTTCAAACTTGGTATGATAATTGTTCATGGCCAGTACATGACACCCTATTTATTTTGGGGTCAAAAGGTTAAAGGTCAATGTCACATAGACACTAAGATAACCCCAATTGATTTCATGGTCAAAGGTTAAAGTCAAATTGACCTTGTATGTAAAGACAGTTTGCAACCAATAACTCAGTGACTCAAGTTGCCTTGGTTTATATTTTTATTAAACAAAAAATGCTTTTCGTATACATATTTCAAAGTCTCATGCAATATAAGAAATTGGCTGTCATTAAGGAGGTCTACAAAAAATTTACACATAGATTATTTGGTAAGAGTTGTGTTAACTTTGTCATTAAATGGCTGCACACAACCTTTACAGTCACAATTACCGGGTACCTACCAGTAGATAATCCCGATTTGATTTTTGGCCACTAGGTCAAAAGTCAGTCACAATAACATAACCACATGACTAGTTGGCTGCTGATAGGGGTCATACATGTTTTTCAAACACATCTTGTAAGTTAAAGAATTAAGAATATTGCAAATTAAAAATGAAACTTCCATAATTTTAAATTATCAGAAATATTTCATTTCTTTTGGCATCAAATGTAAGGTTCATTTATTACACAATTGAAAAAAAAACAAGAAATAAAAACTTCATTTCATCTTACATGGTCTATTAACTGAATTGACTATACACCTATATACACTGTATTTGGTTTAATTCTTTATATTTTATCTCATTCATTTTCGGGCCAAAGTTATTGTTTTGTTTGTCAAATACATACAGACAAGACAGCACAAAAACAAAAATTATGGAATAAAAATCATTAATTTTGTGCAATTATCATTGATGTTTAAAACTGCTATTTTTATGTTTTTAAACATTGTTAAAAAAGTCCTTTTCAATTATGTGTTGAAATTTCATAAACATAAATTTGTCAACAGTAGTTTTACCATAATGCTTTAAAAAGAGCAATAAATGCATAATATAGATATATAGAGAAACAAAAATGTAATCATCCTACCTTAAGTTATGCTCAATATTGTGACACAGGTTTTAAATCATCTACTGTAATGATCTTAACTTTTTCTAAAGGTTTAACGTAAATATTTACCGTTACTATTGGATTTATGCATTCATGGAATTCAATATCGATATTTACTTCCTTGTATACTAAAATTGATTTTTAAAATTGTACACATTTTAAACTAAACTGTTTTAATATTACAGATATCAGGCTTTTATTTAACGGATACAAGTGCATGGTGTTTGAAAATATATCATATTTTGATTTTGTCTTTAAAAGAATTTTAATCATTTAGGAAAGATAAATTTGATATTAAATCACAAATTTTAAACCATTACATCTACCTCAGTTAATATACATGTCCACAGTGTTTCAATTGATATATATATATGAGGCGTGTCATGACAAAACCAACATAATGGGTTTGCAACCGCGCAGTCTGATCAGGATCCATGCTGTTTGCTATCAGTTTCTCTACTTGTTATAGAGTTTGTAAGCGAACAGCATGGATCCTGATCAGACTGCGCGGATGCGCAGGCTTGTGTGGATCCATGCTGGTCGCAAACCCATTATGTAGGTTTTTTCATGACACGGCTCATATGTATAAGCATCATAAATGATATATATAAATAAAAAGAGTTGTAAATCTGTTTTAAAGCATTTAGAGCAGATTGAGTAGACCCCCCATAAGGGATTTTAACTTCCATTGAAAGATAATTATTATTTATGATATATGGGTATCTCATTAAGATGATTTGACATCACATGCATAACATGTTATTGATGATTTCAAGCTTACTGTTAAAGCTCATAAGTTTGAATCTGCTAAATTCTGCTCGCAAACTATATATAAAAAATAATCGCTTGCTTTAAACCACTCTCAAAACTCAAAATATAGATTCTCAGCTTTCAAGCTACTTACCTAGACATAGTTGACTGTGATTTTTAGCTCGCCTGAGGCAATGTCCTCAATGTGAGCATTTTTGATAGCCAATCGTCCGTCCGTGCGTCAACAGTTTCTTTTGACAAACTTTCCTTATAAACCACTAGGCCAAATTTGTTGAATCTTTGCAGGTGTGTTCCTTGTATGAAGTTCTACCAATGTTGTTGAAAAAATTAAATTCAATAAAGAACTCTGGTTGCCTTGGCAACCGAAAAATTATTTACCAAAAATCATAAAAAAATCTTCTTGCAAAAAACTAGTATTTAGATATTTGGCATAAAACATCTTTAATGGATTTCTATCAAGTTTGTTCAAATAAAAACCTTAGGGTCAAAATTTGCTCTGCATCAGGGCCCATTGATTTTCCTAATATATAATTATATACTAGTAGTAAAAACTTAAAATAAAATCTTCTTGTGACAATCCAAATGGGCTAGAGCTTAGATATTTAGCATGAAACATTTTCTAGTAGATGTCTGCCAAGTAATGTTCAAATAATAGCTCTAGAGTCAAAATTTGCCCCGCCCCAGGGGGGTCTTTGATTTTCCTTATATAAACATGTATATAGTAAAATCTTAAAAAAATCTTCTTGTAAAAATCAAAAAAAGCCAGAGCTGAGATATTTGGCATAAAATATATTCTAGTAGATGACTAGATTTTTGTTCAAATGAAAGCCCATAGGTCAAAATTGGTCCTGCCCCAGGGGCTTTTGATATTCCTCATATGTATAAAGTCAAAATTTAAAAATCTGTTTGTGATGATCCAAAAGTGGTTGAGCTTAGATTTTTAGCATAACACATGTTCATCTAAACAACATCTTAATCACTGGTTCAATTTTTAAATAATTTTACACAAAATTTCTTTGTGAGACAGTGTACAAATATTGTTCAGATTAAGCTGTCCCTTGTTTTCAAGTTGTATTTCTGGGTTTAAAGGGGCTCCACTTAGAGCTTTTAACCTGTTTCTCAGGTGAGCGATCCAGGGCCCTCTGGGCCCTCTTGTTGAGTTATGCTCTTGGCCAATATTAAGTTTGAAAAATAACAAAGGGCAAGAGCCAAAAAATTATGCAGGGTAGAGTTATCATTCTTGTGCACTGCACTCTTCCTCAATATGATCTATCCACCTAATTAGTTTCAAGTTGATACCTCAAATACTTTTTGAGATATGCTCCGTACCAAAATGTTAAAATGAAACATTAACTTTCTGGTCAAGTTGACTAGTATACCAATGTTATCTGAAATGAATATTGACTGGTTGTGTCATCCTGATAAACAGTCTACATGTATATCTAAATACTGAGATAATGTAATTACCAAATTTTAAGATAGGTAAAAAAAGAAAGATAACTTCCGAGAGACAGTCAAAGGCAAATTTTATCTCAAATTAATGGATGATCACCAAACTTGGTCTGTAGCTTTTTTAAAGTTTTTTCATCAAGTTTGCTCAAATTTATTTTATTTGCCTCATTCAGCTTAAGTTGAAAATGGAAGAAAAAACAAGTAGCGTGAGTCGATATACTTTACTTACCAGATGAATAGTAACAATGAACTTGGGATATTTGTGAAAGGTTCCTATCATTCATTTTTACTATAAAGAAAATAAATCAGTGTCGGGAAACCTTATAACTAGAGAGGCAAGTTGAATATGACCTGGACTTGTCTTTCTACAAGTTTATTTGAGAATTTATTTCTATAATCACTGACAAACAGTTTTTTCTTGTTAGAGATTCAGGACCATCATGGCCCTCTTGTTTTAATTTTAAATAAAATTATAGCATATTTCAGGCTTAATGGGCCTTTAAACCCATTGATACTAACCAAACAACATCTCTTAATACATGGATAAGAAAGTCAATTAGAATGTCTGTATTTTATTTTGCAGGACCGATGTTACTACGCTGGTACTGCCTCTATGTTCTAGTTATAGCTGTAAATGGAACAACAGAATGTTTTGTGTTTGCGACAATGAGTAAATCTCAAGTTGATAGGTATGTATAATGGGCAGTAATTGAATCAAGTAAATTTTTTTGCGTTACTTAAATTGCAACCAGGGTGTTATAAATAGAATTTTGAAATATTTTGAGGAGCATCTGTGGCTGAGTGATTAATGTCTTTGTCTTCAAACCACTTGCCCCTCACCACTGTAGGTGCGAATCGTGCAAGTGACTTTGGATTTTTTCATGTGAGGAAGCTATCCAGCTAGCTTACAGAACATCGGTGGTTCTGCTCAGGTGCCCATTTGTGCCTGAAATAATGCACAGAAGGGCATGTGAGGTCTTCCTCCACCAGTAAAGTTGGAACGTCGCCAAATGACTTATACTGTGTCAGTGTGACGTAAAACCCAATCAAACAAACCTGTATAATTATATGTAATATTTATGGCATTATCCTTTTTCATGCTTTTTTGTAGACCATATTACTTCTGTTGTAAAGTAGGACAATATTCTACTAATAATTGCCTTGGCTTGAAAATATAATATCAGTATGACTAAAGATTTCAGCGACAATAATTTCAATAAGAAATGACACTCGAGGTGTGGCTAAGTGCATTTCATTTTTTTAAATATATTTTAAAAAAACATTTATTATTATTTCTTGGTGATAATTTATCCAATAATGTTTATAACATCAGAGACTTTTATGACAGATTTATAAAGCTCCATTATAACATTTCCCACTTTTTCAGGTATAATCAAAAGATGGTGGCATTTTCTGTGTTGTTTCTAGTCTCCTCCCTAGTCCTCACATCATACCTGGGAAGTGTTGGTTTTATTTTAGCTAACTGCCTTAATATGACTGCTAGAATTTTACACAGGTAACAATATGTTTTTGTCTTATATCTTAGTTAAACCTGAGTAAGCTGAATTTGTGTAACGGTTTTGCCCAGCTTTGACTTTGGAACAGCTCATTCTATACTTAAGAGATTTAATTTTCAAAGTACAAAAAATGAGCTACCAACAGTACAGGACCTGGACAGAGTGCACTGATTTACAGGCTGGCCTGACTCTATTCTGGTAGCAAATGCTACTGGCTTTCTGTCCTGTGGGTTAAGGGCTAAATTATATTCTGCATTTACTCACATTTAAGACTGATCACCTATAAGTCAGGGTCTGTATTTTGTACTTAGACCTATTTTGATTTTCTAACATTCTTATCTGAAAAGAATTACTAAGACTGACTGGCACTTGACTAAAAGAAATTCTAATGAAGTCAATGTGTAAGGCAATTTATTAGTAGAATATTTATGATAGTTTTTAAATATTTGAAATATATTGCTTACTGATATTTGGGTTAATATTGTTTGGTTAGCCAAACTTAAGTCTTTTATATTTTGTTTTGTTTCAGTATCTATTATATTGGAGAGTATTACAAGAATAGTGAATATAAACCATTAAGTAATGTATGTCCATCTCCCTATGTGATTGCTGGTCTTTTATTATCACTGTGTCTAACAGGCATGTCTGAGGTAAGTCTGTTGTTGTTAGTAAACAGGAATAGCCATATCTGATTATAATGGTATTTCTCTTTTTTTGTATTGGCGGTTTTGGCTTGAAGTATGCTACAGACAAATGAAAGTCAACTTTTTTAATCATTTAAATGTACTTTGCTTTTGATTAAAATTTAGTCGCAAGAGCAAATTAAATCTTAAGTTGACTTACAGAAGGTTGACGGTTTTACCCACAGTAAATAAATTTAGTATTGAACCAACACATATTTAATATTCTATTTGTTACATACCCAAAATAAAACCTGTTTAATGTGCAAAAGAATCATTTTTCATTGACTCACCTATAGCGTAATGCTAACTTTTAATGCGTCTTTATACTATGTTTATATAACGTAAATGACGTCAGGTCAAAATATATGCATGGTCGTGCAATACTGTTTTTATGGAGTCACATAATTGGCATGGGTATGTGATGAATGTTGTTAACAACAAAACTATCAGAACGTCAAACATTAACAGTTTTAGTCATGTTTCCTAGATACATGTATAATTTGGATATAGAATGAACAGATAATAAAATATCAAACAAATACAATGCGGGTATATATTTGGACTCGTACACGGCTTTAGAAATCATTCGATGCACTTGGCAGCTTGTCCAATATGATTTGTCCAATATGAGTACTCTTAAATATATCCCTATATTGTACAGTTTGAATAACCAAGAATGTTAATCATACAAACATTAATCAAATATCATTATGATCATAAATATTATTAATCTGTTACAGAGATATTTTTGCTGTGATAAAGGTGCGGTGTACAGATTACTACATATATGTATAGGAGGGCTGGCGTTATGTTCAACCCTTGCTGTGATCTACTGGAAAGAAACTCATGTTGTCACGTTTGTAAAAGAACAGTACAAGAACAGACATAAACATTGATGATAAACATTGACAGAAATATTATTAGGGATCAATTAGTGAATTTTACATTGTTTTTTTATATATTATATTTACATACCTTCGTGAAGGCATGCTTGAAACGATTCCTTTTTACCTCGAATTAATTGAACTAAGACCAATCATTCTTAGAAAATTATTGTTATAATCATATTGTGACGAATCGTTATTTAAGTGTGGCGAATCATTTTTTCACTTTAGCGAATCGTTAAGTGTGGAAAATCATTACAAATTCATTTAAGCTTTGTATTGCAGTCTCCTTTGAAATTTTGTACATGTACATGACATTGTAATTGAAATTAGGAAGAATTGATCATCACAATAATTTTTGCAAAACGACCAGAATTTTTCTATTATACGCAAATGAAATTGATGTTATTGATGAAAATTGTTACATTGTACTTTGTATTTAAAGATATATTATGCTCAAATTTAAAATTTGAAAAAAAACTGATAATTACGATCAGTCTCCCTTAAAATGAAAGATGAACATCTTTTGAATACACACAGAAAATATAGTTCGTTTTAAACTCTACACACTACAGGTAATCACAGTATGATTACATAGTGTCATTAAAAAAACTGGCATTTTTATAAGAATAAACCAGATTAACTTGACAAAGTAATAGGGAATGCATATTTCCAAACACAATGTATCCATTCACTTATTTAAATCAGTCATATTCAGGAAGAATTTACTAGATATCAAAAAATTTTGCAGTAAAAGTATTTAACCCAAAGGTGAGCATAGTATATCTTTAAATTTTTATATGAAACAAATTTGGAGTATGACTGTAAAAGAATGCATGTTTATTTGAAAATTTGTTAATTGATTTAGAAATGACATAGTGTTTTTGATATTTTATTGGGGAAAAAGGAGAACAAGTTGGAAAATAATTGTTTGTGAAATTGTATACTGATCAAGATCTTAATATGAATCCATCTATATGAAGTTATGAACACTGCTTCATGCCCATAAAGAGTACACTGAATAATGGTTTTACTGAAAAAATTATTACTATTGTCAGGCACTAATTTTCGTAGTTTTTGTGGATAGGTCAATCCACGAATTCTAGATCCAATTAACTATTATTTTTGTTTGCTGTAAAATTATTTTTATTTTGTTATATGCAATTTCAACTTTTGCCACAAACAGGCAATCCACGAATTTAAGAATCTACAATAACATCTTTTTTGACTAAACCACGAAATTTCATGCCCACAAATTTAAGTGAATTTACAGTAATATATACAAAGACTATGCTTTTAATGCTTGTTTTACTGATTATTATTGGAAGGCATGTTCAAGGTACTCTGTGATAGGAATTGTTTTTTTACTCCATTTTGTACTTATTTGTGAAATCCAAATATATGAAACCGTTGATAAATTCCTAAATTTATATGAATTTTGATCCAGTGCCATGTTATTAATTATAAATATTTTGTAAGCATAAAACTGGTATATATGTTCACAGAGCTATATTTAAATGTTATAAAAGTCTCTGATAAGTTTTACTATAAAAACTACCATTCCGCTTCATGTGCAAATTAAAGATATACTATGCTCATTTAAGTAAATATCTGAGAAAAATTTTTAATGGAAGAAATTTATTAAAACCTATGAAATTCTTACTGAGTATGTCTAATTAAAAGAAAAAATGAATTAACTATGTATTGTAAGTCACGTTCTCTAATACAAGACAAGTAAAGTTGGTCTTTTCTTAAAAAAACTGCCAATTTTTTAACGACACATTATATTCTATTGTCACGACCTACAGTGTGTAGTGTTTTAAACATGACATATCACCTTTGTGTGAAGTCAAAACATGTTTATTTCATATTTACAAAGAAACTGCGTAGCAATTATCAATATTTTCTAATTTCAAATTTGAGCATAGCATATCTTTAAAGCACTTTTTCTAGACTCTTGTATAACAGTGAAATGGCCAGATTTATGATACAATTTCTGTATACACATGCAGGTATAAAGACTATTTTAAATTTCACATTTACTTTAAATATTGTAAAATATGCAGCAGTTTTAATTAAGTTATATTTTGGTGTTTGGTGTAAAGATATTGCAGTATTGCCTAATGTTTATTTAAAGTTATATAAATAGGCAAATACTGATTTAAATGTTATTATTGTAACTAAATAGTTACGCCTGCCGCGTACCTATATTTGTTTTAAATTAAATTGTTTATTTATTAATATGATATGCTGAATAAATAACGAAAATATGATAAATATCTTCTTCTTATTGTTTCTTCTCCTTTCTGTCGTCGTTGTATTCAATCAGTAGCTATATTTTGACTGTCCCAAACATTTAGCTGTATACGGCCGTAAAATATTAATGGTATTTTATTGTAAGTACTATATTAAAATGCAATAAAGTAAAAAAAATCTCGGATGGCCATGTAGTAAAAGGAATACGCAGGATTGATTAGACTTCGATAGTAACTGCAGAAACACAGGGACGACTCAGTCAAAATATTACATTTTCGACATATTTATTTGAGAGATAAGTCTTGACTCCTGTCTGCCTGAGTAGAGATGGTTAGAAAATTACCCGCCTATATGACTGAAATACTGCTGGGAAAAGGCGTAAAAGGGTACCCAGCCCAAATTCCCATTAATTTATTATTGCGGCGAGGAGTGCTTATGTCACTTTAAAGCACGCACAAGTCTGCTTCCTTAAGCTAACCAGGACTGGTGTCATTTGAGGAAGTATAATGGTGACCAAATTTTGACTTAACCAATGATCATCGGGTTCGAGGCAGACACCATTGTTTATTTGATTGTTTTCCAATTAATGTTTAATCCATGTTTATGATTTAGACGCTTTTATTTACGCTAGCTGATTTCATCGTTGGTTACCTAACAAGTTATCACCCTAGCGTAGGTTGTGGAAGTCAAAAGAAAATCTCAAAAGTTAGTTCGATTCGAACCCACGACGATTAGTCCGATGCTCTTACCCATGAGCAAAGACCCTCTATCTCCATCTTCACTTCTTGACCGCTATAGACCTTGTTACCCATATACTAACTGCACGTGGGTGGAATGGCGGATCACTGTAACAGCATATAAGACAGCGCATGGAGCAATTATACCGTCCTTGTTACGCTAAGCAGCTGAATATTGTGTCAAACTGATTTCGTGAAAGGGGCACATTGCTGATTTGTCACAACAGTTAATTGGTAGTAATGCTAGACTTTCATAGAAATGATTTCACAACTTATTAATTCTTCATTACAATTGTTCACTTCAAACTAATAAAATATATTTGTTCGGAATGTAGGCATATTTAATTCAAAATACAATAATGCTCCAAAAAGTTAACATTTTAAATTCAGTTGACGAAATGATGAGTTGACGAAACAACTTTGTTTGACCATAACCAATCAAAACAAGTGGTATTATACATAACAATTTATCCGCTTTCGTATTGGTCAACCTAGGCTATGCAAAAACACCAGATAATATTTATTTACGATTTACGATGTATACATCGCCAACCAACATTGTCATTCATTGTTCCAAGTTTAGTCACCTGTTGCGAAATGCCACCCTTTCGACTGTTACTGTGTGCTGTAACTTTAAATAAAAATTTCCATATTTTTTGTACTAATGCAAAAAAGGTCTCATTTTTTCACCGTAGGGAACGTGTTACAGTATCGCGTTTTTCTGTTACAGTATAGAATTTTCAAGCTGGAGGATTATTTGTTGGTAGGACAGGTAGGTGATTTTTATTCCGGTCCATACTACAAATAGTTTAGTTTCTAAAAGATGTTTTGTGCTTTGCTTGTAAGGAACAGAATCCGGTATCTAGTCATATATTTCTTCAGACTCTGCACCGCAGATTTATCGTTATATTGTCTCACAAATATGAAGATTTGACAGTTTGAAAATTTGAATCGAGAGACCAACGCATTTTTCTCCAATTTCGACATTATTTTTGCATGCCTAGAAAAAGTAAATCTGCAAAACGTTAGTCCTTTATGTTAGGAAACGTTTTTAAAATTAAATGACCAGTTGAACCTATTTTCCTGTTCGTTAAATGCGTTTGAAAAAATAAACAATGTTACAGTATAGAGCGAGGTGATTTGTGCAGGGTTACAGCATAGACCTAGCCATTTTATTCGATTTTGTTACAGTTTATACTCAGATTTCAGTTACAGTTTAGACTTCGATATTTTCTATATATACTAGGTAAAATGTATGAATGTTACATATTATAGACTTTTAAATCTCTGTGAGCTTATTGGCCCGATGGCTATTCGTCCCTCTGTCGTACACATGTGTGTTCAATCTCATCCGCTCAGTAACTACTTAACTAAATGTGATGAAATTTACATGACTTTCTACCAATTAGTTGTTCAAATGGTTTCGGTTGCAATAGGGGATACGAAAACCCAAATTATAGATTTTGAAAAAATGCAATGTTTAAAGACCCTTCTCGTCTCGAACCAAAAGCATTCAAATCAAATCATCATCATGGCGTCATTCGAATGCTTCTTTTTTGAATTTATGATTATTTTGTCATTATTAAATTAAAAGTCGTTTTTTTCTTATTTCAGACATTCTTTATAGCAGTTTTCATGTTTCTGAAAAAGAAAATAATATTGAAAGTTATAGAGTATAAATTAAGGTCAGACAATTACAATATCTTCTCTAGTGAGCCTGATAGAGGTACATAAAAGTGGCAGAGTCGGGATAAGGCCGTCGACTTCAAATTATATTTCATTTACTGCTTTAGCTGAAATCCAATCATGACTTTGGATTCTTTGTATGTGAGGAATCTATCAAGCTAATTTACGGAAGGTCGGTTGGTCTAGTCAGGTGCCCGCTCGTGTCTGAAATGTTTCACAAAGGGATTCTGGGGTCTTTCTTTACACTAAAGCAGGAATGTTTTCACTTGACCTCAGTGTCGTTGAAACTTAAAATCCAAGAAAGCCAAACGTAACAAACCCTTTTAAATACTTACAAAATAAAAGGATATTCCAACTTAAAATAAAATTTAAGGTTGAAATTTTGCTCACTTAAATTCTGTTTAATCATTCTTACGGTATTGCCTGCTT